GATTATTTTTCTTATTTGGATATTACTTTAAGATAATTTTTTTAATGATATTATAAAAACCTTCTTTGACAGTGTTAGCCGAGTAATTTTTAGAGTTGATGCAATAGATTGTATGTCAACCTAAAGTCGTTTAAAACTTTGAAGTATTGGAAATACAACAATTAATAAAAAAGGGTTTATATGTTAATTTAACATGATAAAAGATGTTTCCGATGAGAAATACTGTAGCAGTCTTTTAAAGGCTTAATTTAAACAAAAATCCCAAAAGAAAGTGAAAAGGTAACACTTTTCATTTCGTCAATTTGAAATTAAAATTTCGGACAATTATCTGTCAATTTCTACTTTTTGTTCGAAAGTTTTGTGAATAAGAATAGGCTTCGAGAATACAATTGTCAAACTTTATTCGGACGAACGAATTTTCGAAATGAAACAGAAACAGAGTAAGGAACGTGCGAAATTTCGATCGAAATTTCGTTTTTCCGTACAGTCCAGAAGTTTTGGGCCTTTTTTTATGCGCAGGCAAAAAATACTGTTTACAGACGGCGCCTTTAAGAGGCACACCACCGAACGGACCTCACACCTGGCTCCCGCAAGCTTTCCAAGACCCAGGACCTCGTAACTCATACACTTTACGGCGCTTTACGGCATAATATACGCTAAAAAACCCTGGTAAAAAGAGGTTTTGGGCCTGCTGAATTTGAACCTCAACTTATTTTCGACCAAAACCGCATGAAAGAGTCTAAAAATTACCAAATTTATAATTTGAAAACCACACTAAAAGTTCACTGTACGAGTAGGTACGTCATTCAGTTTTTTACAGCTCCTGTAAATTTTAATTTTATGTAGTTTTTCACCTCTTTTTCAGCTCTTCATATAATATATCAGATTTCGCGAAATAAAAACAAATGAGGAATTATAGTAACATAAGTTATTTACGGGATTGTTGCCATGTACCTTGTTTTTAGCGAGTTTCCGATATTTCGACACTGTTGCAAGCGCCATGATCACGGAGTAGCTGAATTAATTGCGGGAAGGCTGTTATTGCCAGACATATCGGTCTACCCTCCGACGAAGTCTTTTATTGCGTTCGATACCCGTACCACTGTTCACACACCGTACAACTCGCTAAAAACAAGGTACATAGTAACAATCCCGTAAATAACTTATATTACTATAATGTTAGTGACCATGAAAGTTTAAAACAATAAAATGAGGAATTTGCCCATTACATAAGTACGTTTACCTATTATATCATTTCGCACTTATTGCATTGTGCTGCGGTGTTTTCAATAAAGTGTTGGTATGTAGTTAAATGAATTTATTTTATTTTATACAAAGAAATTTGGTGACTCATTTCTTTGTCGTACTATCCGTAAATGGAATTCTCTGCCGGCTCACGCGTTCCCTCCCTCTTACAACCTGGGATCCTTTAAAAGAGGCGTGAAGAAGCAACATGCAGGCCGACAGGGTGAGGATGGCTGGTGTGGCAGTTAGAACTGCTGTATCAGCTATCTTCGCGTCTGGACTTCACCTTCACTTAACATCAGGTGGGGTGGAGTCATATGTCGGAACTATCTATAAAAAAAAAAATTGCCTTGAATTGGAGCACCCGTCCGGCCAAGTAACCTCCAACTCCCAGAAAATATACACAGTAAAATAACATTATATTTTGGTGGTGTTGTGTTTCTGTCGGTATGTAAAGTTCCAGGTCTCCACGAGGTAGGGGATCGATTGGGGGTAGGCAACGGTACGAGTGATATTCTCTGTCACTCACAAACTTTTTTTCTTAACATAAAAAGTGTTGTGAGTATAAATATAAAACTTGTATTGAGTAAAGCTCGAGGAGCTCGATGGCGCAAGTGGTTAGCGCGTTCGGCTGCCATCGTTGAACTGAAGCAACTTTCGCAGTGGTCGGTCATTGGATGGGTGGCCAAAAATTACTATCTCGAGCTCCTCCGTGCTTCGGAAGGCACGTTAAGCCGTTGGTCCCGGCTGCATCTGCAGTCGTTATCACCCACCAATCCGCACTGCGCCCGCGTAGAGGGTCATGGCCCAATCTCCCTATTCCATCCTATCCATAGGGAAGGCCTGTGTCCCAGCAGTGGGTACATTAATACGCTGATGATGATGATGATAATGATTGAGTGAAACTGGGTTATAAAAATTTGAGTAGGAAATCCATTGTTACACTCGGACGAAGCCAGGCACTCGACGCACACAAAACATCTTTCTAGTCGAAGTTCTTTCAAGTACGTAATGACCAAAGTTGAGACTGATTCTCCGATGAAAGTAAAAGTCAATTAATCTCCTTCCCACATAGTTCGCTTGCTGCGGAAAAGTTGTAAGCTTACAATCTTTTTGGATACTGTTTGAGAGACTTATCGATCTATGCAAATTCTTCTTGTTCAACTAGGTAGACAGGCCAAATTCCAGCACCTTTGTGATCTCGTTGTAGTGTTATTTGCTTTGTCGATTAATTGAATTACGCGAAAGGTTCTTTATTTCATCCAGTTATTTGAACGACGAAGCAATTCATCAAAGCCAAGTCTTGTGAAGACTTTCTTACTATTAATAGAATTATTTAAATTGAAAAAATCGTTTAATAGTCAAGTTTAGCAGAGAAATAGAAAAGATCTCCTTGCCTTTTTCTATTCAAGATAAAATCGAGTTTGAGTAAATTTTGTGTGGCGTAGCTATATTAGGTATATGTTTTTTGTTACATTGAATTATGTTTTAACGCTGTTAGTTTCTAATGTGTACATAATAAATTTCTATAATTGGCCTAAAGATTGTATTTATATTTTATTGTATTACATCCATAAAAATCGCAGTAGAAACTTTGTTAAAAATAAATAAATATTTTTTTATTTAAGTTAGTGATTAAGCTTAGTTTCCGGTGTTTTTTAAGTGTACGGCTTATAATATAGAAGAAATATTTATTTAATATTACATTTTTAATTTAAGTACCTATTTAATTAATATTGAGTGCGTGAAATTTTCTAAGTGAAATTTTCTTTTCAACACATTTCCTCAAAAATACGTTTAGGGAGGTTGTGTAAAGTTCAAATTTGCGGGTCATACAACGGAGCGAGCGGTGAAAAAGTTACTGCCGTAAATAATACGCACTGCGCGTATTCTTGACTTTTTTTTTTAATTTCTATCTAACCTACTTTGAAGTGATTTTAATCTTTTTTCCTTATTTTTTTTTTTGTTTCCTCCCAGGGGAGCGGGTGTGAAATCCTCATGGATACCGTACAGCCGGCTGCAGGGTTATGTCAGACTCCTGCTGGCTAAAACGCACCCGTTGTGGCTGCCTCTGGCCGGGAAGGCCTTTAAGGCTTCGTCGGATGCGATCGTCCCCTAAGAAGGGGACGATGCAGCGCTGCCTAGTAAAAAACTAGTACATATGCGCTTCTTTGACGAGACGAAAGACGAAAGATGAAGTTGTAATTTTCACCACCCGCTCGTGAGTCATTTAGAAATGCCAACCATTTTTTTAATAAGAAGAAGTTTGCTTCATAATTCTCGCTAATGTTTGGAAAAACATTTGTGCGGATTGGTATTCACAAACCCGTGAGTATGACGTCGTCTCGGTCTTACATTCGTCTACTCGATTGTAAAAATAAAGATGTGGTTTTTGGTTCTACTACACCAATGGTCAAGAGATGGCGCTGTAGTCTCCTGAATCGCGCTTTGGTTCCGTTGTTCCAGATTAATAAATACTTTTGATAGGCCTTCACAATGCAGTCGTTAGCACCCACTAAATAGAGATTCTGTTTCTATTTTGTTGGTAGATTTTCTTAATGTGCGGTAAACACAAAAGTAACGCATGAAGTTTGTCGCTAAAGCGACCAACTTCATGCTGTTAAAATTTTGTGTTACAGTGATGCGCGCGCATCTTAAAATTTCACTCTCATCATTTTTTCATAACGCGCCTAAAGAAGTATAACTTCAATAAAAAAATATCGTTCTCTCCGAATTTCGACTTTGCCACCTCGTCTTTTTGCCGCTCGCGTAGCTATATTGGAAAAATGGCGCCTAAAAGCAGTTTTTTGACAATATCTCCTTTCCTACTCATTTTACGATAAAAACAGTTAATACAAAATGAAACTAGAGACAATTGCCTACAATTTATGTATCTACCTTTTTTTACATAAAGTCAATATTATTGTCAATAATACTCGTATAATTTGGCTTGCGTTGGAGGACGCCAAATTTGGCCAAAAACTCATTTCCACACCACCTTGAGTAAGAGTAAGCGCGTTTTTTTTAATGTGGTATCCCCAATAGGCCTTATCCACATGCAATTCAATGTGCTAAAATTGAGCGTATGCTTTTTCGCTTTGTTGTTCTCGATGCACCAGGTGTTGCAAATTTATCGTCTGTAGTACCAATCGAAACGTCACAGACCGGTATATCATCTACATCATGGGTCTATTATAGTATAATTTAATATCCATAGTCAGTCAGTTTAGATTTACATTAATTTTATAACTTACAAATATAATGAGTTGAAATTAAATGTCACAGGTTGCATGAATAATGAGTAATGAACAAAGCTCGAGGAGTTCGATTTCGCAACTGGTTAGCGCGTTCGGCTGCGATCGTTGAAGTTAAGCAACTTTCTCAGTGGTCGGTCATTGGATGGGTGACCAAAAATTTACTATCTCGAGCTCCTTCGTCCTTCGGAAGGCACGTTAAGCCGTTGGTCCCGGTTGCATCTGCAGTCGTTAGCACCCACCAATCCGCACTGGGCCCGCGTGGTGGGTCATGGCCCAATCTCCCTATTCCATCCATAGGGAAGGCCTGTGCCCCAGCAGTGGGGACATTAATAGGCTGATGATGATGATGATGATGACCAAAGCGCGCGTTGGAGTACACTTTGCGGCGCTCGAACGCCAAAACTATTGACTTTATGAAAAAAAGGTACATACATAGATTCAAGGCAATTGTCTCTAATTTCATTTTGTATTAACTTAAAAACTCCACTTGCCTTGCAGGTAGTCAGAAAACCGGTGATGAGAACGGCCAGGAACATGTTCATCGTCAACCTGGCTGTGTCTGACGCGCTGGTCTGCTGCGTGGGCACACCTCTCACTCTGATGGAACTCCTGACGAAGCACTGGCCTCTACCCGACTGGCCTAGCTTGTGTAAGGCCTGTGGAGCGATTCAAGCGATATCCATCTTCGTGTCTACGATTTCTATTACTGCGATAGCCTTGGATAGATATCAGGTAATGTTTGATTTTATTTTAAGCATTTTGATTTAACTGCTTGATTTATCAATCTAAAGAAGAAACTACTACTTATATAAAATGACTGCGACCAAATTATTCTTGAAGGATTTCTGATTAGGTTAGTATATTATTTATATTTTTTAAGCATATAACTGCTAGATGTTTAGATCTAAAGAAAATTTTACTAGAACAAATTCCACGCGGACCAGGCAGCAGACGGGACTCGAACCCTTCGCTATCCGGGCGAATGCACTGACCATTACGCTACCGTGGCCTTGATGGCCGTGTCGAATTTTCTTTAGGCTTAAGCTAGACAATTGGAAAATATGGCGCTGCCTTGCAGCCTAAGGCTAGAGAAAATTCTACATGGCCACCAGAGCCGCGGTAGCGAAGGGTTCGAGTCCCATCTGCTGCCTAGTCCACGTGGAATATTTTCTTGTAAAAGTTTCTTAAGACTTAAACATGTAGCAGTTAAATGCTTAAAAATTATAAATAATATAATAGGTAAGTTTAAGTATATTTTTGAAAACACGCAGGAATTAATTTGTCCCTAAGTAAGCCGAGCAACTTAAATATTTACCGACAAAGCAAAGGATATCCATACTTATTTTGTTTAATATAAAAATGGCATGCTACTTCGCCAGCGGCCACCATAGATTAAGGCACCGCTCATATCAGATTACCACAACACGGTCAGTGGCTGCAACGACTATACGAACGTCGCGTTCCAGCCGCATCGGCCCCCCTCAGGTTCGAGTGGTCTAGACGCTCCAGACGGAAAGGATACTACCCCCGTGGGGAGATGCCATCCGCCTGGAATACCTCTAGAGGCACTCGCCAATTCTCGGCTTAAGGTCCCCTTAGGATCTCACCGTCCCCAAACCCGATGACGCTGTAAAGGTCATCTGCAATCAACAGCATACACACCCAAAAATAAAAGCCGCATCGGCCACATAAGTTATTTTTTTAAAAGGTTCTAACCCGTGGCTGTTCTTTTAATAATAATAATAATGGCTAAGAGCTTCGACTGTCATCTGCGGAGGCTCGAGTTTGGTGACTGGGTCAAGGACCTGATACAGAAGGCAGTGCTCCTTGACACGGCTCGCATAATGAGGAGGTTCCTCTCTCTGGGGCCCTCATCATCATCAGCCTATTAATGTCCCCACTGCTGGGGCACAGGCCTTCCCTATGGATGGAATAGGGAGATTGGGCCATGACCCACCACGCGGGCCCAGTGCGGATTGGTGGATGCTAACGACTGCAAATGCAGCCGGGACCAACGGCTTAACGTGCATTCCGAAGCACGGAGGAGCTCGAGATAGTAAATTTTTGGTCACCCATCCAATGACCGACCACTGCGAAAGTTGCTTAACTTCAACGCGCTAGCCACCTGCGCCATCGAGCTCCTCTCTCCTCTGGGGCCCTAACCACCGGTAGCTAGGACCCTGTTCCCGCTGCCGGTTGCCTTCTATTTTCTATATTAATAAATGTTTTTATTTTTATATCAATATTTAAAAATGTCATTAATATGGTATAAAATAAATAAAGAGAATAATAATAAAAACATTTATTTCAGACACGAGATCCATATCAAAATAAAATAAAAGCAATACAACAATTACATTAAAGTAAAAAAAAAAATAGCAATAAAACAATACATTTAAAAAACACATACGTCAAATTAAATGGAAATCGAACATTGAATTCACAATAATAAAATTAAAACAGAATAAAATAATTTAAAACATTTAGTCAAATTTTGTTCAATAATTAATTTACAAAAATACAAATACAAAATACAAAATTAGTTTATTTCAGTAACTTAGCCTACTACAATATATGAGTATGGTACATCCTTTTAAGCAGTAAAATTGCTTGTGTTAGGATGCACCGCTCTTCCACAGCTTGGTTACAATAGGCCAATTAACAATCCGCCATTTAAATTTATAATAATAATGGATTACATTAATATATAGTTAAAGTTTTCTTTTTTTTCTCTTTTTTTTCAATTTTAATTTATCAATTATTTTTATTAATTTAAATTTTAAAATCGATTATAGGAGATGTATCTTTAACTAATGTAATTATAATATATGCCAGAGTACGTGGGACAAGGATGCTGATAACGATAATATCGGAAAACAATTTTAATTGTTTTTACCAAAGAACAACATCGCAACGTGCTCACTTCATCGGCATAGGAGAAACATATAAAACCAAGGGTGTATTCCGTAATATAAACCAGTATACTGGCCAGTGCTAATGACGTCATGGATCAACGCTATACTGGTGAATTGTTCCGAAATATACAGGCCAGTGCACTGACGTCATAAATCGACGAAATATTAAAAATAGTGCGAATTAAGAAGATTTTTTATTCACCTCATCAATTAAAAGGAATTCTTTTTGTTCGGATGCCATTATTGTTCTTCAAATAAATAAGAAATAAAATTCGAATGCATCTCACGCACGCTCGGTCACACGTCATTCATTTTCCCGGTAAAAATATGGTAGCATACCAGTACAATAATTATGGCGTCAGATTCGTGACGTCATTACCACTGGCCAGTATACTGATATGTATTTCGGAATACACCCCGACTAACCCATAATAATCAATTGACCTTGCGATTCACTCACAGAAATGAAAATGACAGTAAAAATATATTCGTTGAAAGAAATTTACTAGGTATCATAACAGCTACCATAACTTATAATGGCTTACAGTAATATTTAGGCTAAGTAACGAAATTGACACAATCCGACGCACAATTCGGTTGTAAATGGGACTTTACGATAGAAATGAAACTCCATACTAGCTGATGTTAATTTGTGAGTAACATATTTTCGTAATACATCATCATGATCATCATCATCAACAGCCCATCATAGTCCACTGCTGGACATAGGCCTCTCCAAATGCACGCCACTCAGATCGATCTTGGGCTACTCGCATCCAGCTCCTGCCAGCCACCTTGCGCAAATCGTCACTCCATCGTGCTTGAGGACACAATAATAATAATAAATAATCGTAATACATATCGAAATATATTTCATATATATTTTGTATCTCAAACCATGCTTTAAAACCTTTCTTAATGATTCTAAAACAATTAGCTCATTGGCAATAAGCAACATTAAAACATCCAATGTCGTATTAAAAAAATCAGTTGATGTAAATAGGTAACCATTTTTTCTAGCCTGAACAGATTTTCTTGGAGCTCAGATTACCCCATTTTCTTTAGTAATACTACAAGAGTAGTGTAGTATGCCTTCAGTCTTAATTTTTGTGGTGGTTACTACACCAGATGGGAGAAACCACAAGAGTAGAGATGTTCGATACCAAGTATACGAAAATATAAGGAATCAAAGAAACTTCTTATACATTCAGATCTGTTTAGGCATTTAGAAATAGTAGAAATAATCCATCCAGCCTTTCTCCGTCCACTGCTGTACAAAGGCCTCCCTCATAGAACGCCACAATGCTCGGTCCTGCGCTATCCGCATCCAGCGGCTCCCAGCACATTTGACGATGTCGTCATTCCACCTTGTTGGGGGTCGCCCCACGCTGCGTCGTCCGATACGTGGTCGCCACTCGAGGACCTTTCTTACCCAGCGGTTGTCAGATCCTCGAGCGATGTGGCCTGCCCATTGCCACTTCAGCGTGCTAACTCTTCGAGCTATATCGTACCCATCGGTCCTTCTACGGATATCCGTATTTCGGATCTTATCTTGTAGGGAAACACCGAGCATAGCCCTCTCCAGAGCACGCTGTGCGACTCTGAGTTTTGTTATGAAGCCGACATTCAGAGACGTAAATAATATAAGAGAGAGTAGAAATAACCAGGGCTTATTTACCGGTTAATTTTCAAACCTAAATGTTAAGTACATTAGGAGTGTTTTATTTAGGTTTGGTTTAAGGTAGACTTAACCTTAAAAAAACCGGTTTTCCTAAAAAGCGAATTCAAATAGGTTTTGAATCAATTTAGCGGTTTTTAAAGGGTTTCATTTCGCTCTTACTGACGGCATCGATAATAAATGAGTAATTTGACTCACTAGACGCTAGCAAACGTGTCAATAAATGCATCAATCTCTGAGCATTAACAAGTTGCGACTTGATTAGTTCAAACAAAACAAACTTCAAGCGATGCCGACGCGTGCATGTGTCACTCTGGATTAAACCGGTTTATTAAGGTTTTAGGTACCGCTTTCATTTGGGACGCGCTTTGAACGAAATCTTTACTAAAAACTGGTATTAACCTTTATTTACCGGTATTGTCGAAACCGGTTTCTGGAAATAACAGCTAATACAAACTTTCATAACACCCGAAAAGATTACACTAGTATTATCTCTTGGTGAGTAAGTATCTAGGACTCGCCGATTTAAGGTTTGAGCTTTGAAAGATAGAATGGCTGATACGGCACATCTCTCTGCTGCATCAGTTGTTTTCGCTAAAATATTCATTTACAACACTAAACATCATGTTGGGTAGGGCAATTTCCTGCATATCTTACATATAAAATTCTCGTGTCACAATGTTAGTTACCATACTCCTCCGAAACAGCTCCACCGATTTTTATGAAACTTTATATGCATGTTCACTAGGTTTGAGAATTGGCTACTATCTATTTTTCATACCCCTAAGTGATAAGGGTTGTCCGTCCCTAACATTTTTTTAGATTTTGGTTTATTTTGTTTATTTTTTTATAATGTGGCATCAAAAATACATACAGCTCTAAATTTTCACCCTTCTACCACCCATATTTTTATGGCGATACGAAGTTCGCTGGGTCAGCTAGTTGTATATATACAAAAAACCTATGTGATTTAGAGGAAGAAATTAGAAGTAGGGGAACATGGGAAAACTTTATATTTTATGGGAGAAAAAAAAAGTAATCTCCTACGTAATTGTATGGGTTTGTTTATATCCTGATGAGCCAACGAATACAATAAATGAAGTAAGTTATCTAAGTCCGGGGGATAAGATAGGCGAACA